CGATTTTGAAAAGGGGAAAAAAGTCTTTTTTGAAAAAATTAAAAACGTTTAATACGCGTTGAACATTAATGAGGTTGAGGGATCGAACTTTGTTAGTATCAAAAAAACCCAACTTATTGGCCCCCCTACAAATAACAATTGAGATCCCAAACCCTAGCTCCTATTCATCGCCTGACTCCCCCTCCTCCTCCTCTTCCTCTCTCTCTCTCTCAATCTCTCAGCCCAGACACTCTCTCACCCCAGCCTCTTCATAGTCTTCGTCTTCAATGAGTTTTCGATTCTCCACAAGATAAATAGCTACTTTGCTCATCTATTCTGTGATCTGCGATTTGGGTTCCGATTTTTTTTTTTAAAACACTGATTTGAAATGCGATCTGCCATCGGCGACTTTTTTTTTATTTAAAAAAACACTGATCTGCGATCTGGGTTCCACTTTTGTGTTGTATTGTTGAAATTTTTGTTGTTGATTTTTTGCGATCTGAGTTTTGCTGGGTTCTGATTTTTTTTTTTAAACACTGATTTGGGTGATCTTTTGGGTTTTGTGATTTTTTTTTTTAAAATCATAGAGCTTGCTCATTTATTGCTTTTGTGCTATATGGTTGAAATTTTTGCCGATGATTTTTTGCGATCTGGGTTTTGCTGGGTTTTGATTTTTTTTTTAAACACTGTATTACATTCTGAGCTGGTCCAGTACTGGGTAAAGGAGTTGAGATGACGATGAGTGCTTTCTGAAGGCCATGGGCTGTTTTTTCTGCACTTTGAAGACTGGTTGTTGGATTGTGATGGATAGTTTGAAGACTGGTTTTTGAATTCATTTGCTTCTTGTAATCCATTGTTTGATGGAATAAAGTTCTCCCTTTTATTAAAAAAAATAAATTGTATACAAGCTAGTCACAATATATATATATATATATATATATATATATATATATATATATATATAAATAAGTGTTACAACCAAATGAGACTTTCATTTTTGTTTTCAAATTTTTTTACAATTATAAAAGTAACCAAACACGTTTTTTATTTTCATTTTTTGTTGACAAAAATCTAAAATTAATTATGTTTTTTATTATTTAAAAAATTAAAATCGTAAACGTTTTCAAATGAGGCCTAAGTTATTTATTTTTTTAATTTTTTGGGGAGGGGAGGGGTGGGGAGGGGAGGGCATGAATTATTTATCTCAGAAAGACAAAGTTTTCATAAGATAAACAGTACTACTGGACCAAAGACTTATTGGTTGTCAACTTAAGTTATTAAACTCTAAAATTTTAGCAATTTTGCCTTTGAACTAATCTTTTTATAAATTAAGTTATTAAACTCTAAAATTTTAGTAATTAAATCCTTCTATTAACAATTGTTCGATTTTTGATAGAATGTCTCACGTGTTCATCACATGGCCAACAGAGGTTAATTTAGATTGTTTGTTCGAAACTTGTCAGACGAAGAAACCCATTCCTTATACCTATCGACCAAAACTTTAAACTTAAACCTCTTTTAGAACCATCAAATGAAGTAAATCAACAAGTTTTTCGAAAAAATAAATTTTAATTAAAAAATACATTTAATATGTAAAAAGAAAATAATTTTTAATCGGCTCAAATTTTAATATGTAAAAAATAAATTTTAATTAGTTCTAATCGAATTTTAATACGTAAAAAAATTTAGAAAATAGAGGGAGTCTAATTACAGATATACTTATCTAGAGGGGGTGTGGATGAAATTTGTTCTCAAATATATTATGGGCAATTTAGTAAATTTATATTCTACTTGACTTTTTTAATTTTACAATTGTGTCAGTAAAAATTTAAAAAATAGAGATAATATACTTAAAGATATGATACATTAGAGGGGATGGTGGTTAAAATTTTCTCGAAAATTAACTTTACAAATTAAAGATATACAATCATTTGGAGTTAAAAAACTACAGTTAAATATGTTTGTTTGATAAGATCATTCTCAGGAAACTAAAATGAGCAATCTATTGAGAGAGAATGAGAGGAGAATAAACCATTACATTAGACGACTATTTTTGGCGAGAACACTACGATGGGTCAAAAAACCCTTTGTGTTCAATTAATATTAAGTGTCAAATAATTTTTTTAAAAAATATTAATGTACTATCTTATTTTTATCGAATGAGAGAAAAAATATTAAAACTATTGAAGTGTCCACCCAAAAAAGATTTTCTAGATTTGCCCGTTTATGAATCCAAAATCTATATAGTATTTACAAGTACTATTTATACGATTTTCGATACTTTACCCTCTATATCAATTTATCACTTTATAACCAAGAAAAAAAGACATGGATTTTGCAACAATCAAAACTTTGAACGCTTATTTTTGCCACACCGATAAGGTTCATTGTTGTTTAAGGATTGTTTGGTAATTTTATTTAGATCTTTTTGATTATAAGAAAATAATAAAAAGTTGACAAAATTATATTTTTTTATAAAAATATTAAAAAATCATCCAACAACGCATTAACTGTCTTTTTTTTTTCGATTAGGATGATGGCCTAGTGGTGCTCCTAGTCTAAATGTATGAACCTACAATATGTGATGTATATAATATATATATATACATACACGACTTGACCATTTATAGTTGTTGCATTTAAAATGACATTTGATCACGATTAACATTAAAATTTATAATTAATTTAATGATTATAATTAATTAAATCTCAAATTAAGTCTTAAATTAAATTCCTATAACATTGTTCAAAATGTATGCCACATAACATTGAGAGGTAGCGTTGAAAGATCACTTGTAATGTGCCCCATACCTAACATAGGTCCTATTATGGTATCGAAACATTATTTTGCAAAATCATATATAACCTTTTTTTATTCAATGAAAATGTCACGTGTGTATAACTATCTTATTATCTTATCTTATCTTATTTTATTATTTTTATGATCAATAGTCTCAAATGAATCAATTGAAAATATTATAAATCACTCTTTGATATGCCATGCCAAATGTTTTTTGGGTATCCTAAGCCTATAAAAGAACATTGGAGGGTCTTTATAAAGTGACGAGGGATACAAGTCTTATTCACAATAAAAGTATACACTATAGTCAAACACTTGCATAAAATAACATCTAGAATTGTATATTTGTATTGCTAGAAATCTTATCATTGGTAATTAAATTTCATTCGAGGTTTTAAATTCCTGTCATTCCAACTAGGCCTCAGGGGTGGGGAAAGAGAAATCAAGACTCAACGTGGTCTTATTTTGGACAACCGACTACAATAAGAAGTATATATCTTGTACTTTTCGTAAAAATGTCAAATATTTTTAAGTTCAGAGTAGAAGAATCACGTCTTTGCATATTTATTTAATTTTCTTTATTAGTGAAACAGGCATAGATTTTTTTTTTTTTTCAGTTTGTCAAAATTTGTTATAAATAAAATTCCAAGGACTTAAAAAACAAAAAAATAGAAAAATTAAACAATATGAGAGCTTTAATATTAGGTGTGTCAATTGTATTGTGTTTGTGTGACCCACATGTTTAATTCGTGTCAAGACCTATAAAAAATAATTATTTAATGTGTTCCGAGTATTAAATATTAGTCTAAATTATTAATTATGTATAGTTAATAATTGTGTTAATTTTATAATCGTTTGTGTCGGATTTGTATTAACGGATTAAAGCTAACACAGCTAATACCCCTATTTAATATGAATGTCAGGAAGTATGCACGATCCCAAAAATGCAGAATTGGGACCTTCCTCTCCGAGAAATGTTTAAAGTTGTTTCAAGTTGCAGAACATATCTTTTTCTTTATTACCTTAAAAATTAAACATATCTTTTTCTTTCTTCCTTGGTTTTATGAGATGCAGAACATTTCATATGTCGGCCATTGGGTAACCAAACAGAAAAGAACATAAGAGGAGGAGGAGGAGGTGGGATCCATAAAATATTAAAATTTGGTATTAATCTAATAATTACAATGAAATTATATCACTATATAAAAAAATTAGATCAAATTTTTAGATTTTAATGATATTACTATTTTTTTTGGAGGGGGAGTGGGGGTTTACTTTGTGAGGTTGTTTGGAAATGACGAGAAGTTGAAAACAAATAGATTTTTACTGATAAAGGAGATATTCCATTACATTATGCTTTTTTTTTTTGTTGAACGGGGAGGGAGTATTTAGACCAGTTTACGTACATTGTGATTAATTTTTTCTTGATCCGATCAATAGCAGGCTATCTACGCCAATATTAGGGGTATTAATGAGAAATAAATTTCTTATGACCTGACCCTAAAGAATTATCAAAATTCGAACTCAAAATGTCTTGATTTACAACCCGTGTATGTTATTCCCTTAAACTTTTCATTAGAGTTACATTGAGTAATACTGTTTGAACCTAAAAATTTGACATAATTTGTTGACATAATGATATGACTTTAGCAGAATTATTGGATCAACACCAAGTTCCAATGTTTGATAGGCCCTACAATTAATCCAAAGGTCAAAATAAATTAGGTCAATAAATTAGATCTTAATAGCATTAATCTATTACATTATGCTTTACTGCTGTACAGTACAAAAAGTCAAATGTACGCATATTTTCACACCGTATGCAAAGAGATTATTTGTAGTGATATCCAGTCTAATATATTTTCATCAACTCATCTCTCAGGTACATCATCGACATTAAATTCAAGTGAAAGCCATTGTGAATAAGGGTGTTCCTCAAAACACATGATGACTAATTTGCTAAAAAGAGATACAAAAAGAAAATGTATTCCAGGTGTTCAAGTCGGTACTAATTTCCACAGGACTTGTCGTTTGTAGTGGCAATAATGGGGCAACCAGTTCCCCAATAATTTCCTTGCCTGGTGTACCACTGGGACACCACATGCTACTAATCAACCAACACCACACAATCGCTAGTCAGCTCACCAGTCAACTTTTGAGCTACCACTCTTCTTAACGAAGAACATCCGATGACTCAAAAATCTCCAAGAGTTTCAATCCAATGATCTGCAACTCACATACTATCAACTATCATCTTCTTTTGTTTCTTCTTGTTGTGCACATAATTGGGTCTCTCTTACTTCAACTTTGTGAAGGAAGAGAGACAATAACAATTGACAATGAGATCAGAGACGACAATGAAACGCTAGTATCAGCTGGAGAACGATTTCGATTGGGTTTCTTCACTCCAGAAGGAGTCCATAACAAAGAGAGATTCGTCGGGATATGGTACTACAGAGATCCAAAAACAGTTGTATGGGTGGCCAACCGAAATGAATCTCTCTCCGATTCCTTTGGAGTTTTTGGCATTGCTGATGATGGCAACCTCAAGGTACTCGATAGAAATAAAACTTACTTTTCCACTGATCTCGAAAGCTCTTCTGCTTCTAACAGGACAGTGAAGCTGTTTGATTCTGGAAACTTGGTTTTAATTGATAATCAATCAGGAAGTGTTTTATGGCAAAGCTTTGATCACCCAACAGACACTTTTCTCCCCGGAATGAAGATGGATGACAAAAAAAAATTGACCTCATGGAAAAGTGCAAAAGACCCAGGAAGGGGAAACTTTACGTTCGAACTAGATGAAGAACTCAGCAACGGACCTATTTACCTCACCCGGCAAAGAACGACGACATACTGGAAAAGTGGAGATTCAGGTGGATTCGACAGCCCCAACGAATTGCCCTCAGGAGTGGCTTACTTGCTCTCAAATTTTAGTACGAAGTCAAAAAGGTACAAAAATCTTATAGTTACTGAACGCTCTTACAATAATACGAGGCTGTTGATGAACTCCTCTGGCGAGATACAATATTTTAATTGGAGTAACGGTAACAACTTGTGGTCGTTGATATGGTCAGAGCCTCGCGACAATTGTAGTGTATATAATTTTTGTGGCAAATTTGGTAGCTGCAACAGCCAGAATAGTACAGTGTGCAGCTGTGTGGCAGGGTGTGAGCCTGTTTCACCGGAAAACTGGGTTACGGGAGATTTTGAAAGTGGGTGTACTCGGAAATCACCAACATGCAACAAGGAGGGGAGTGATATTTTTCACAACTTGATGCTGATGAAGGTGGGGAAACCGGACTCGCAGTCGTACGACGCGGCCGATAGTGATGAGGCTTGCAGAAAGGAGTGTCTTGACAATTGCCATTGCCAGGCTTATTTATATAATGGAGGCAATGATACAGGAAGGGTAAGTGATAACAGTACACATGGATGCTGGATTTGGAACACGGATCTCATCAATCTTCAGGAGGGATACCCCGACTATAACCTTTCGATCCGTGTGGCAGCTTTCGAGATAGGTATTTTCGGTTAATAGAAATCGTCTTACTTTTGACCAAAATCTTTCTTACGACTAAAGACATTGGCACTTTTTTTCTTTTTTCTTTTGTGGATTTGGGGGTCATTGAGGATAAATTTATAATAGGTGGAGGGAGAGATATTTTGGCTTTTTTGTTTTTCTTTTTTCTTTGCTGAATAATGAAGTTAGAAGAGTTGCATAATCATAAAGCTAGGCTAAAAAGTATTGAAAATAATTGGGGTATAGGCATCGGAATTTTTTTAACAATGTCAATGGTAATTTGTGAAAATAAGGGATGCATATAAAATATAAAAAGAGGGTCATTGCATATTGGATGCCCATTTTACCCATTAACATGAAGACGAAACAAACTTGACATGACTCAAACACCAAGATTATACAACTCATTATCATGAAAAATAAGTAGGTAATGTTGTTGTTACTCACCAATAATTCATTAATCCATTCTGCTGGTATTGCAAGAAGAAAATAAATATATATATATTTTTTTCATTTCTTGATCTACTATCAGATTATTTGTTTTAGAACTAAAACTTTAATTAATATTTTTGCAACTCTGATAATAAAAAATTGTTTATGTAAAAATATGTTGTAATATTTGAATAAGTATATTATATTATCTATAATATTGTATTAAGAAATAATACGATCTCGTCAAAAATAGTGACCTAAGCCTTCATTTTGCATCAGCCCGACCTTGTAGTATTGCCAGGGAGGATTTGGTTGATCGAAAGAAAAAACTTTTGGAGGCTACAATTTTCTGACATGATTAAAATAAAATCTTGTTTAAGAAAGATTAACTAACAACACGGATGTGTCCCAAAAATTTAGGGTTAATAATATTTTTAATTTCTAAAGTATGCATATTTTATTACTTTGGTCACTAAAGTATTAATTTTATTAATTTGGCCGCAAAAATATTTAATTTGTATTTAAATGATCCCCTATATAGAAAGACCGTTAAATTTTTAATAAAAATGATCACGTATTGGACACTTGATATCGTCTAAAAGAATGACATGTTGACACTTCTATCAAAAAATTTAACGAATTGTCTGATTAGGGAGTAAAGTGACACGAATTAAAACTTTAGAGATTAAATTGACAAAATTTATATAATTATGACCAAAACTAACCAAACATACTTTAGAGGATCTAAAAATACTATTAACCTCAAAATTTATTACATGCTGAATTTGGCTGCTACGTATGTTTTATGACTGTGTCATACTAACACTTCGGTGATCTCTATCATCTATGCAAACAATTCAATTAAGTTTAAGTTGCAGGCACATGCAAATGCCGACGTTGAACCACAATCCTGTTCTGCGGAGAGTTTTCCAGCTTCGACGTTGTTGAGTAGAGTTGAGTAATTAATTACAAACGTTTCGTGCTTTATTTTCAGGAGGCGGAAACCCTAATAACCAATCAAAAGTGCCTCAGAATAGCGAGACAGTCCCTCTGAAAACCGTGATTATATCTACAACTCTGATTTTCCTGATCCTTCTATTATGCAGCTTTAGCTATGTTGTTTATCGACGAAAAACGGCAGCCAAAAGAAGAGGTAACTAACTAGCAGATGTTTACTATGCATATATATACACACACACACACACACACACACATACATAGATATATATATAAATATGTGTGTGTGTGTGTTGTTCTTCCGAGTCAATTCAAAATGAATATTTTTTTACATACCTCAGAAACCAGAGAAGGCATGCGTGGGAATCCTTTAACGCACTTACATGACAGCGAACGACAAGTCAGAGAATTGATAGGTACAAGCCATTTTAAAGATGATGACAAGGAAGCCATTGATGTACCTTTTTTTGATATGGAAATCATACTAGCAGCTACAAATAACTTCTCCGATGAAAATAAACTGGGACAAGGAGGATTTGGGCCCGTTTACAAGGTAATCATCATTTCATCCACATCATTGTTCATTTTCAACTGCTATGTTCTTTATATAGTTGGTTAGCAACTCATAAAAATTTAAACGTTAGAGAGAAGTGCAACATACATGTGACATGTCTATATAATATTTCCTTCACGTGTGGCCCCTCTTGGGTACATGATTGGTTTTTGTTTTGATTTGTGGAGTAAGGGAGGGGGGTTAAAGTGATTTGAACTCAAAATCTCATTTTGAACTCAGATACCACATTAAACCATCAACTATTCTAAAAATTTAGGGTGTTAGAGAGGGATGTAAAATATATATTTATATATTTAACAGGGCATCTAACAGGGCATGCTTCCTGGAGGACAAGAAGTAGCTGTAAAGAGGTTGTCAATCTATTCAGGTCAGGGATTGGAGGAATTCAAGAATGAGGTTGTCTTGATTGCTAAACTTCAACACAGAAATTTAGTCAGACTATTGGGCTATTGTATCAAGGCAGAGGAAAAGATTCTACTCTACGAATATATGCGAAACAGAAGCTTAGATGCCTTTATATTTGGTCAGTTTATGTGCCTAAGTTACCAACTTTTTATGCTTACAAACACTACTGTTGATAAGCAGAGACTAAACAAGGTCACTGAAATTGTGTTTCACAATGACTGTCATTGCAAGATCAAACACTTGGCATGTTATTGGGTTGGGAGAAACGCTTCGACATCATTTTGGGTATCGCTCGAGGGCTTCTTTATCTTCACCAAGATTCCAGGTTGAGGATTGTTCATAGAGATTTGAAAACAAGCAACATTTTGTTAGATGAGGAGATGAATCCCAAAATTTCCGACTTTGGCTTGGCAAGAATAGTTGGAGGTAAAGAAACAGAAGCAAATACCAACAGAGTCGTTGGAACCTAGTAAGTACAAGAGCTTTGGCATTACTGTAGAAGCAAGATTGCCCTGTTTTATCATTCATCACACAGACTTTGCCCCTTTATGGATAAAAGGCCAGTTGTGACTAATATTTAGGGGTACAAATGAACTGATTTGTTTAAAAACAACTTGGGATCGGCTCGATAAACACTTTTTAAGTTTGTTCATTTATTAAAAGAACCAACCTCAATCTCAATTTTGAAACTTGTTTAAGGAACTAGTTAAGCCTGATTATTACTGTTTGACTTGTTAGGCTCATAAACATACATTTATATGCACATATATATTATAATTTTATGTATCATATATGTAGCCTTATGTATATATATTATACATGATAATTTTTAAATGGATAGATGAGCCAAGTTTGATTTTGAACATGAGTCTAAACTTGAATTTAAGCTTGAGCTTAGTTGTGAAATCGGATGAGTTGAGCTTGAGTTTAGACACAAAATTATCGAACTAAGCTTGAAGATGTTTAGAATTCATCACAATTCCAAACCGGCTCCAAACACTCTTCATGAATGAATGAGCCGATCCCGAACAACAAAAGCTCAACTTAGCTATGTTCATTTGCACCCCTATATATTCTGATATTCTAATTTCTCTTCCCTGAGATATGGTGCAATGCAGTGGCTATATGTCTCCAGAGTATGCATTAGATGGATTGTTCTCAATTAAATCAGATGTCTTCAGTTTTGGAGTTGTTGTCCTCGAGATTATTAGTGGGAAAAGGAACACAGGATTTTATAATTCTAAAGAAGCCACGAATCTTCTAGGCTATGTAAGTATTGAAAATTTCTTCAACCTGAAAACCCTTTAGTTTTTTTTTTCATAATTTCATGTATGGTTATTAATTTCAATTTTGCACATTACCACAAACACAATACGACATGAATCCGAATATGGCACACCCATACTACATAAGTTTGGTTATTTTTAGACTTGAATAATCCATTTAGTTGGTATTACTAACACAATTTCTTTTTTTCACTTAATCTTGTGTTGTATAATTTGCTTAAAAATTGAACAATTTTTACATTACACAAACTTGAAATGACACGATTCGAAATGACACTTAGTGAACATGACGACCTGACTTGATTGACATCTCTAATTACTATGATGGTTGTCCCAGGCTTGGAGATTGTGGAAGGAAGAGAGGGCAATGGACTTGGTGGACCAGACACTCCTGGAATCATGCAGTAGAAGTGAAGTTTTGAAGTGCATAAATGTTGGGCTCTTGTGTGTGCAAGAAGATCCCAGTGATCGTCCCACCATGACAAATGTAGTGTTAATGCTCGGCGGTGAAACTGCAACTCTTCTGAACCCTAAACAACCGGCTTTTGTAGCAAGAAAACGCCTTTCCAGCACACCTTCTTCTTCCTCAAGTAAACAAGAAGCACAGTCCCATAATGAGTTGACATTTTCTCTTGGAGAAGGTCGATAATGGTGTTCTTGATTTATGTTCTTCTTTATCCAGGCTAAAACAGTTTTACTGGCCAAGTTTTGACAATTAGGCAGGCACATTTAGCTATTCAGTTTAATATACGCTGATAATAATTACATACCCAATTTTTTTTTCCTTTGTTTCTGTTTGTAGAAAGAAAGATCTAGTTATGCATTATCTTCCAAATCCACCTCTTCAAGATAATTCGGATCCTGGTTGAATGAAAATGTGAGGCTGATATGATAGAAGTCTCAGGTAACCGAGCCGAGCTTATTGGGGTCGGTTCGTGTTTTAAACGAGCTAAGTTGAAACAATTTTTTAAATTTGTTTAGAAACAAGAGCTTAAAAGGCTAAACTCGAATTTGACTCATTTTTAAGACGAATTAAACTTGAATAATTTTTTATGAGCTCGATTATTAGCCCTACCCACACAGTAACACCTTGATGGATTCCACCCTTGTAAATGGTCTTGACCCTTTCAAGCATCACTCATAGCACTCCCCATGGTTCAAATTAAGATGGCTGTAGTCTTTGGTCCTACTTTTTGAGATCGACCGCAGTTCTGCATAAATAGCCCTTTATAATAGTCTTATTTTTTAATCCTTTTCGATGGTGGGTTTTTTTTTTTTTTTGGGGGGGGGGGGGAGATGAAGATTAGTAAACCAGGAAAAAGAAACATAATTAAAAGAAAAACATAAAATAAACAAAAAAAAAAAATTGAATAAGAGATTCAATTACACTGATGCTCTATTTTCTAACAATTGCAGGTGCCGTCAATTTAATATATTCAAAATAAAAATGAAAATATTGCTCAACGAGGATATCTCTTTCTAATACTCCCCAATGCTTCTTCACAGGCTTACAGACTTTGAAACTAACGAATTCCATCATCGAGGCCTTGGCGTGCTAATTGTCATATCATTGTTGGAACAGCTACCGACAGCCTGTGAAGAAGTAGTAGTAGTAGTGACACTCCTGTGAGTGGAAAAAGCAGGTTCTTTGGGTGAAGGAATTGATGAAACTTCATTGCTCAGCCTGAGAACTACACCAGACATTGTTGGTCGATCGGTTGAAAGTTCCTGAACACAAAGAAGCCCCACATTGATGCACTTCACAGCCTCCTGAAGTTGGCAGGTACTCCTGATCGATGGATCGATTACCTCAGAACAACTCCCTTCTTTCCAATTTTCCCATGCCTAAGAAAGGATTAAACCAAAAGTTTATAACTCATAATTCTGTATATACAAATTAATCAACATGACTGAAAAACATTAAGGATGCTAACCCATCCTAAAAGGGTCAGAGAGAGTTCAGTGCGATGGAAATATGTGTTCTTTATACCGCTTAAATCTCTAACAATAAGACCCCGAAGCTGAATACATCAGATTTATCAGAAAATTGCCCATACAATGCATATTCAGGCGGCATGTAGCCACTACACCACCAAGTAACAATAATTGATGTTATAGCAGCAGCAGTAGTAACATAAGCTTATCTTGTGATAATTTATGTACTTATTACTTACTATGTACCAACCACTCGGTTGGTATCAGCATTGGTTTGATTTAGCCCAAAAATCGGTGTCATTCTAAAGTCTGAAATTTTGGGGGTCATTGCTTCATCCAGTAGAATATTACTTGCTTTCAAGTCCCTGTGAATGACTTTCAACCTAGAATACTTGTGAAGATAAAGAAGTCCTTGAGCAATTCCTTCTATAATCTGGAAGCGTTTATTTCAATCCAGATTTGTTTGCTCAGAAGCACCTGATAGAGAACAAATATTCAGTGGACAATCAGGAATTGGAAAGCAGAACCTTCACACTTCAGGGAAATGTACTATGAATACCTCAAAATAATAGTTTTAAGAATGTTTTGAGGAAATAAACAAGTACCAAATAATTTGTCCCGGCTTTGATTGGGCATGTCCTCGTAGATTAATATCTTTTCCTCCCCTTCAACGCATCACCCCAAGAGCTTGACAAGATTTGTTTGTTGAAGTCTGGCAATAAGTTTCAACTCATTCATGAACTCCTCAAGTACTTGTAATGATCTCTTCGAGAGCCTCTTAATGGCTACTTCGTGAATTTCAGGCAAAAACCCCTGGAAGAAAGATGATTTGTGGGCATCTAAAACCCAATCAAATTGAAACTCATTTTACAGTCAAATTGAAACGTTTACCTTATAAACAGGACCAAACCCTCCCTCTCCAAGCTTCTTTGCTTCAGAAAAGTTGTCTGTAGCTGCTAATACATTCTTTAAATTGAATGACAATAGCTCTGTGTCATTGTGCCCAACTCCATCTGTCATAAACCTTGTAGAAAGCCCAACTATATTTCCAAAGGTCCTTTCTGTATGGATAATGAGTCATCAGTAAAGCAGAACCATGCATGAAGCATCTTTTTAGTGTGCTTATAACTTTTGGTTGTCCAAGAGAGAGAGAGAGAGAGAGAGAGAGAGAGGAGGGTGGGGGTGGGGTGGGGCGTGCCTTGCCTTCTCAATCTTTTGAACCACAAGACATAGCCAAAAACAATAATAAGAAGCAATCCTATAGAAAGGGCTGCTGCAACTGCAATCAGAATTCTAGTTTAGTAGAGAAATATATGTGAGTCAAAAGGGATACTCAAATTAAGAGTAGAGCCCCGTATATATATCCAAAAATAATACAGAGTGACTTAAACATCCTTGTAGTTTAGGCAAAATATAAAAATCATAGTAAGGGTAAAAAAGGGAAAAGAAATCCTAATAAACTAGACTATCTATACTCCAACACTCCCCCTCAAGCTAGGCGCAAAAATGTCAACTAAGCCAAGCTTGACAACGGAGTCCCGAAGAATAGACAGAGTGACAGGTTTGGTAAAAACATCCGCAACTTGATCACTGGTCCCCACAAACGATGGAGTAACAAGACCACTGTTGACCTTCTCCCGAAGAAAGTGAACATCGATCTCTATATGCTTCGTTCTCTCATGTAGTACAGAGTCAGAAGCGAGCTGAATAGCAGATTGATTATCACAATATAATGTGGATGGAGAGGTCACTGAAAAACCCAACTCGTCAAGAATCGATCGTAGCCAGATAATCTCACACGTGCCAAGTGCCAAGTGCCAATGCCGATACTCTGCCTCTGCGGACGAGGGGAAACAACTGCCTGCTTCTTGCTCTTCCAAGAGATAAGATGAGTCCCTCGAAAAGCACAGAAACCCGTAGTAGATCGACCATCACATGCTCCCCCATAATCTGAATCTGAATAACAGGCTAGAGAACCGGTCTGAGATCCTGATGCATAAAACAACCCAAGTCCAGGACAAGACTTGAGGTACCGAAGAATATGATAAACTGCATCAAGATGAGGCTGACATGGCCTATGCATGAACTGACTAACTCGGCTGACTGCGAATGAAATGTCCGGCCTAGTATTGGCTAAGTAGATAAGTCTACCTACCAATCTTTGATAAACTGTCGGATCTTTCAACTCCTCACCTTCAATAGTAAGCTTCAGGTTTAGAATCATGGGTGATGATGCCGGTTTGCACCCCAACATCCCAGTGTCTGAAAGAAGATCCAAAACATACTTTCTCTGAGAAAGAACAATACCTCTGCTTCTACGGGCAACCTCAATCCCAAGAAAGTATCACATAAATCCAAAGTCCTTCACATCGAAGACCTTCCCAAGGTCTATCTTGACCTGCGCAGTCCCAGAAACATCATCACCAGTAATAATAATATCATCAACATATACCAGAAGGACGACACACTGTCCAGAAGTATTCCGTCGAATAAAGCAGGTATGATCAGAATGACACCTGGTGAACCCCAATCGTACGACTACATCACTGAAGCGAGAGAACCAGGCTCGTGGCGACTGTTTCAGTCCATAAAGAGACTTATGCAGTCGACATACCTTTCCAGCATACTCCCCCTCACCACGAAAGCCCGGTGGTGTATCCATATAAATAATCTCGTCCAGATCACCGTGAAGAAACGCATTCTTCACATCTAATTGATGAAGAGGCCAAGTGTACTCCGCAGCCAGAGAAATAATCAACCCAACAGTAGTCAATTTTGCCACGGGGACAAATGTAGCGCCAAAATCACGACCTGGTACCTGAGTAAAGCCCTTCGCCACAAGTCTAGCCTTGTAACGATCAATAGTACCATACGCAAGAAACTTTAGGGTGTAAACCCAGCGACAGCCAACAGGCTTCACCCCTGAAGGTAAGGAGACAAGATCCCATGTATGATTACGCTGAAGAGCGTCCATCTCTGTCTGCATGACAAGAACCCACTGGGGCTCCCGCATAGTTTCCGAAATAGAGCGAGGAACCGGCGTATCTGATAAGGCCATAGTATAAGCTCGAAATGTGGGAGACAGATCACCATAAGAAACATAAGCAGAGATCGGATATAAAATCTTGGCGGTCCAACCATATCGATCAACTGGACGGCGATCACGCCTTGGATAACGACGCCCTAAATCACCATCCTCTACTGATAATGTCTTATCAGGTAAAGTAACTGGCTCAGCACCTGCAATCTCATCAGTACTAACAACAGGTGCATCAATATGCTCAACAAACTGAGAAGTATTACCTGCATCGCCTGAGGTAGAGGGGATATCAGCAGGGTGATGAGAGCGAGGACGACGAACATACACCTGCAAAGGAAGAGAGACTGGTAACTCTGTACTGACAGGGATGAGTGACTCCTTTGGAGGAAAAATGGATGACCCTGTAGGGATAGTGATCAATGACTCTGACTCTTGTGGTAATGGAAAATCAAAGGGAGTATCATCAACTGGAGGGGCAGACAAAAGACTGAAAGGAAAATAAGGAATATGCTCAAGAAAGGTAACATCTAGACTGTGATACATATGACGCCTAATAGGATCATAACATCGATACCCCTTAGATTGATGACAATAGCCCACAAAGATACAACGAATCGCTTTATCATCAAGTTTATGACGAGTAGGAGACCGATCCTAAACAAAACATGTGCATCCAAAAACACGAGGGGGGACCGAAAAAAGTGTCCGCTCAGGATATAAGACCTGTAAGGGAGCCTTATGCTGAAGAACACGACTCGGCGTACGATTGCACAAAAAGGTAGAAGTCAAAACAGCAAAATGCCAATAAGATTTTGGTACCCTCATGCCTCTAAGCAGACAACGTACCATCCCTATCAAACTCCTATTTTTCCTTTCAGCAATACCATTT